CCATCGCCGCTGGCACAATGAAGCTCAGCGAGGCAAAGCGGAGCGTAATAAGCTGCACTTGTACAGAAAAAGTCTCTTTTATTGCGGAGCACAACACATGACTAGAGCGCTGCAAAGACACGAGAGGGAGGGAGAGGGGCTCACTTAAAAAGACGTTGGCTTCATTGCGGCAATTGTCTGAGCCAGTTAGACGCAGCCGCGCCCTCTTGCAGCGACTGTCACTGTCAATGTCTCCATGACAGAGCTCGGCAATAATTTGTTTATGGACCTGGCTTTCCAGCCGGGGCCCAAATACATTACACGCGCAATGTTAATCTGCTTTTAATTAAAAGCAACGAACAAAGCTCTAAGCAGCTTTCACTTCGCCCTTGCTTCCTCGCAGAAGTCAGACACAATTGAAGTCAACTCGACCCGAGCCGAGCCGCGCCGCGCTGCGCCGACTCAACTAATTGCCATTTGTTTTGGCTGCCTTGACTTGGCCTGCTTTTTATTGTTTGTGGCATTGCGGCCACATAAGAGCCATTTGTTCCTTGCCAAAAATGTAGCCGGCATCGTTCAGGAGTCGAGCTCTGGCCCGGGCTGCGCTGCCAATTACAATACAAATGTTATCACTGACAATGACACGAAATGAATGACAATGAGCGTATATGTATGTGTTATGTGTGGCCGGGAGAATGAATAAACTGTGTATGTATGGGAGCAGCCCATTAGGCTCACTAACGCCAACATACCCAAGGGACCATTGCGGAAGCAAATAAACTTTGCCAAATAACATGGCCTATTGCAGGCCATAAACAATGAAATCCATATGCAGCCTCGCATTCTCTACAGATATCAGCATGCACACTCACAATGTCGCCTTCTCTCTCTCTCTTTTTTCTCTCTCTCTCTAACTCCACATTCCCACTTATTATCACTTTCTGAGCATTCAAAGTGCGATTAGAAAACATATTTAATTTTAAGAAAATCTTGCAAAAATAAATATTACTTTCTATAAATAAAAATATATAATAATTTTAATTGATAAGGCAAGATTTCTGTTGCACTACACAGATATATCAAATGATTACGAATACATTTCTCATGAATGTATAACGATTCCATTAGCCTGAATTCTCGCCAAACGATATTGATTGATGGCAAAATATTAAGAAAATCAATCAAGCTATGAAACAAGCTCGCCTTTGACCACAACAACAACAAAAATACAAATATCAACAGTGTAAAATATGTCAAAGACAATTAATTATAAAATCCATAAAGCCCCACAAACGAACGCCCAGCGCACAAGGAACGCACAAACAAACAAAAAACAAAAAAAATATTAATAATAATAAAAACAGGACGAAGGAAATTGTGTGAAAAATGCGCCTGACAAAATTCTCTTTCATAATAATTTGTTGAAACACGCTGGAAAGGTAGAACGGTGGGGGCTGAGCGCTTGTTTATATAATACAAAGGTAGAGATAAATCAGATTTAATAGGCGGGGCGGGCGCAGGGGGAGTTTTAAAAACGATGTTTTAATAATAATGATAGCAGACAAACACAGTATCAATATAATATAGAAATATGTACATGTGTGTGTGTATTTGTGTGTCTGTGTGTTTGTGTGTGTGTCCCTAGCACAGACAGTAAAAATAATGTTTGCGAGGGAAAGCAATAATAATGTTGCTGCAAACACATGTTTACAGTAGCAATGCGATGTGACCGCACAACAACAACAACAACAACAACGGGAACAACGGCAGCAACAGCTGCTGGAAACAGACTATGCGAGTGAACCCAAAGCTGTGTACTTTCCCCCTGCTGCCACGTCTGTGTGCACATTTTAATCAATAAACAAACGTAAAAATATGACAAACAAATTAATAAAATGCAACAAACACACAAAAGATTGAAACAAAGTTCGAGGGGGGAGCACACCGCATGACAAAATGTGATAAATGAAGCTGCATCGAAGGCCTGCCAATGACAATGGAACATCAGCGAGAACAGAGGCAGCCTTTGACTAAATATAGATGCGGAGCACTCCCTCTCACTCTCCCCCCTCCCCACGCCTCGCTCTCTCTATCTCTGCTCTTTTGGGCGAGCCGATGCATTGTCGAGTAATTGTGACAATTTGGTCCCACACAAATGGCATAATAAATGTTGAGCCTACGATGAGATGTGTGAAGTGCAGCAGCCGATTCACGATTCACGACCCCGCCCCCAGTCTCTGCCCTGTGCCCTCTGCCCTTTGATGGCCATTGCCGGAAGTGATTTCTGACTCAGCTGCTGCAAAGCGCGGAGCTAAACTCGACGGCAGCCGCATCAAGAGCCATAATGCGAAATTCTGCTGCTTCGGCAATGCGCAAGCTGCAGCAATAACTATGCCAATAAGCCATTCATGGAATCCGCAACTAAGCGATGCTCTAACTAGAAGAGAAGATTGGGAATCAAAATCAGTTTGTGAATTATATACATTCACTGAATATTAATATCGATTAAAATGATATATAAAATTCAGTTAATAATTAAACATATACATATACATTTAATACTATTTTTATATTTAATACTTTAATAATATTTTTTATTTATTATTTAAATTAAATTTAATATAAAATGATGCAATATAAATATAATAATAATCACATATAATAATATTTCTTTATATATTTAAGCTTAAAATATATTTCAATATATATATATATAACATTTCTTTAAATTTAATTGAAATTATAATTTTAATAATAATTTAATAATATATTATATAATTCAATATTAATTTCAAATGCTAAAAATATATTATTTGTTATATACAATATAATAGTCAAGTTATTTAACATAAATGAATACGAAACCATTTAATATTATTATTTTATTACGTTAAAATAAATATTGAATAAGATTATTTGTAATATTCAACTAATTTGAAGTAAAATCGATATCTGTAAATATTTTAAAGGATCAAAATTTTAAATTTCTAAATGAAAAATATTAAGCAAATCAATAAGAGCTATAAATGAATTATATGATTTATATTTATGTTGATTTATATTTATGTTGATTTATATTTATGCATCAATTATGTATCTCTGTATCAATTTGATATATGAATTTATGTTTTTAAAACATCTCAATTAATCACTTAGTATTACCTGTAGCTAAACGTTTAAAATTTTAATTTGATTGGAGAATAAAGCGAAAGCTAGATGAGTAATAGTTTTAGTTTGTAAGCAGTGCCAATCAATTCTTTTTTCAATTTTTGCAATTAACTTTACAGAAAGTTATCAAAATAAATATTATGACACAGCGCCCTTTTAAGGCGATATCAATGCCGGTAAATTAGAAGTAGATATTTAAAACACACAAAGCCATGTAATACCCGCATTCTTACATTCCACTATATGCATTGTCTCTATTGGAAACTGATGAAAACGCGCTTTAGCCTCCTCTGATGCATTCTGCAGCGAATTGCACACACTTACGATGTGCAATCTCTATACCCTTTCTCCACATGATTAACAGTTATCCCAATGTTGAGCTATTGTCTATGCAACTTGTGCGCCCATAATAGCAATTTAGATGGGCGCACAGTCACGCCTTTGCGCTGCATTAAGCGCCCATTAGAATACCAAATGGAGTACAACGGGCCGTGGGGCCAAAAGCGGAGGGGGTGGGGGGCTGAGCAGGGGATAAAGACAACAACAATTTGTGATGCTGCGAGGCCGGCGGGCAGATGAGGAAGATGCGGAGATTAAAGGATTTCAAAATGTGCATTTCCGGAACTGTAGCGCATAATTAAGCAGCCGCGGGATGCCATAAATAATGAAACCGGCTAAATTCCAAAATCCATTGGCAGCATCAATTAAAGGCTTTGCTATTGGGCTCAAGCCAAGAGTGTGTGATTGCTGGTCAATTAGCCAGCAGAATAGAGAATGGAGCAGAATAGAATAGAATATACGCATGTACAAATTCGGGTATTTGAATGGAATGCGTGGAGCCGCTAAGGTCAACTCAAATGTTTATCGGAGTGGCCCATGGAGTACCATAAATCAAACAGGAAACGGTGGCACGTGATCGCTGCTGAAATGCAATTGTTTGCGGGTCTGTTTATGGGGCGGGGTCTCCACTTGCCCGGCCATAAATTATTTATTTAGAACTTGGCTGCGTTTAACGGCATGCAATAAAATTAATATATACATATATGTATGTACATATTCTGCACTGCGCTGCTTTGTCAACAACTAATTGAAACATTATTTGTCTATCTCTTTCCAGCTAATTGCAGTGCAGACCATTAGAAAACTTTGTATGAAGTGTGCGTGTGCGTGTGTGTGTGTGGACAAGTGCGTCTGCCACATGAAGCAATTAGACGCAACACTAAAATCGCCTATAAATGTCAACTAACAAATATTTTCGCGGAAGAGAAGCCGAAACATAACAAAATCTAACGAGCAGCAGAGGGCACACGCTAGCAACATCAAACTCAAGAGCTTAGCAACATGTTGCCAAGCAGTGCCAATGCGATGGCAACATTTACCAATTGCTGCTAAGCAGCGATGGCAACAACAACATTCCCGCAATCACTTCGTGCGCGTTTAGTCGCATTCGTATCTCTGTCGGCTGCGCGTCTTCCTCTCTCGGCTGTGTGACGCGTTCGCTGTGACTTCGCTGCGGCAGCGACTAAGCAGAATGACGTATTGAAAGCAGACAAAGCAAAGTAACGAAGAATCGAAGCAGATTATACGTAAACAATAATTCAAAATATAAACGCGTTGAAGCAACTTCCCAAAAATAAATCACAAGAAAATGAAAATAATAATAAATAATTCAAATTATTAACGAGTTGAAGAGAATTAAAAAAAAAATAAACAATAATATTTATAGATAATAAATTAGAAATAATTAACAATAAAACAAAATATCGAGTTCAAGAGACTTGCTAATAAAAATAAAAAATATATAAATAAACTTTAAAGGATATTAAAATTTAAACAGTGCCCAGATTTTTGCAAACCATAAACAAAACCACATAATTAATGATAATAACAGAACAAACAAAGTTGGCAAATGAAAAATGAAATAAGCAGCCCAGAGCCAAGTCTGAGACCTAATAAATGAAGTTAGCCAAAAGTACATGTGTAGCTAATCATTTATAATAGTGCTGCCCAATGCATGCTAGGCCAGAAGAGACTCCCATCAGCATAAGCTATAGCAAAGCGCCAAATTAAGCTAAATCTGGCGAACAGGGTACCAAATTAATTAACTCGCTCGTCAGCAGCCCGCGACCCGTTACCCACTTCACGGTACGCGTTACCCGTTACCCGCTGCACATCTCTGCCGCTCCATTAATTTCACACTTAATTAATGTCAGGCGGCAAGTGGGGAGCCCGGCCGGTGACAAACGCTCGCAAAGTGTGCAAAAAACGGGACTCGCTGACAATGTGGCAGACGCTATCAACGCTATCCGCATCACTCACAGCGCTCCCCACGGCACTCGCACACGCGTCGGGGTGTAAGTGTCAGTTCGCGCGTCGCATCAGGTCAAAACAACGCCCCAACATTAGCGGCAGCAACACGGAAATGCAAAGTCACAGACCGAGCAGCACCACCAGCACCACCAGCGCCACCAGCACCACTACCAATGCGGCCAGCGTGCTGCCATCAACATTAGCAGACATCGCGACGTCAGCGACAACAGCAACAGCAGCGATGATGACGATGACGATGACAACAACAGCAACTGGAGAAATAAAATGCGAGCGTAGGTGTCGCTGCCTCCAGGCCCCCAGCAACAACAAGTTGGCCACCAGCATCCTGCACTGGCTGCTGCTCCTCTGCATCCTATGTGGTAAGTACAACTAGAAGCGGCCATCAACCGTCAAATGAGCTATGGCCAAAGGCCGCAAGTGACTTTTAGCAAAATGCGCTTAAATGTCTCTGATTTAGTGCGCCACACACAACCTGGCATTTGGGTGGAAAATATAAATAAAAAACACATACATATACTAAGAAAAACGACAAGCTTAAAAAACGGTTGCTGCATTATTTTGAGGGAAAAAAAATCGCAGCACAAATCAAGATGAATTTCCGAGCATTTTTGTGCAGATTTTTGTGTGGCTTTACCCGAAAAAAATAATACAAACAGGACGAGACATGAGAGTCCGGCTGCAAATAAATGCAACGAACGCGCTCACAACTGACGGCCCCAAAACGCTTCTGCCTGTGGCTTTTGAGGGCAGGTCTAAAACACCACAACAGATACATAAGTAAAGACAGACTTGATTAGCTCAATACTTGAATACTCTATAATCTAAAAAAAAAAAAAAAATTAAATAAATAAATAAAATAAAAATAAAGTTAAACGAAGAAATTTAGTAAAATTAAATACAAATTTAAAAATTAAATTAATTAAAATAAAATCTAAAAATTAGTTTAATTTTTAAATGAAATAAAATTTAAAGTTAATTTAAATTCAATATAAATAAATAAAATATAAAACGAAACAAAAAATTAAAATTAAATACAAATTAAAATAAAAAACAAAATTATAATTAAATAAAATGAAAAATAAATTTAAATTAGCCGTATATATAAATTATGAAAATAGTAATGCGATACGTAAGAATTATATGTTTTTATATACCTATTTAGAATTTGTTTTCTTTCTGTATTACCATTTTAAAGACAATAGTGGTGCGGACCTAGGCATATTTTTTTAAGAAGAGTGCTTATTCGCAGCGAACTTTAAAAAAATGTAATGTATATATCAACTTATCTTTAAATAATATCATATGATATTTGCTTTTAAATATTTATATAAACTTTAAATAGAGATTATCACAAACTGTCTTTTTAAGTGAGATATTTAGTTCACCACTCAGTTCGCTCAGCTCAGCTTGAAAGAGTATCAGGAAATGTGTAGCAAAAAGTCGCTACACCTCGCGCTATTCACAGAAATAAAGTATGGGTAAATGGATAATGTGAAAGGAAAAACGTTTGAAAATAGTGCCAAGAAATAGGAGAATATAAAACGAGCAGCAGCAAAACGCGGATCCTAGTGAACAGAATGAGGGAGAGTACAAGAGAGAGAGAGTGAGAGAGTGAGCAAGGTAGAGGAATAAGGGAACAGAACGAGATGAAAGCACAGCTGAGACAGCAGTAATACAAATTGACGTGTGTTTTTCATTTTTGTATGTGTGGGCGTGTACATGTGTGTGTGTGTGTGTGTTTTTCACCGTTTGCTTTGGTGCTTTCAATAATTTCCCTTGATTTTGCAGCTGCAGTTGGCTTTTTGCTGCTGTTGCAGTTGCCGTTGCCGTTGCCGTTGCCGTTGCCGTTGCCGTTGCCGTTGCTGCTCCAACTTAAAACAGAAATTAACTCTAGCGCACGAGAGTATGCAACAAAAAACGAGAAACATTGCAAATCAAGCAACATGTATGTATGTGGTTGGTGGGTGACTGTGTATGTGTGCACTGCTTGATTATTTCGTTTTGAAATTGATGCTGCAATCAATTATAGAAGAACACAAAAAACCAGGGAGAACAAGTAGAATGAATCGAATTCGGTTGGCGTTGCAGAACCACAGCGGCGAAGAGTAATGGCCAAGCCAAAACCAATTGAGGTCCTGTTGCCACTGGCAGCGCAGCGGCGTTTAAAGCCAAGTCTTTGTTATTGATTTGCCAGGCATGCCCCAGGCGAAAACGCTGCGCTATGCTAAAATAAACTGAAATCAATTTAGTTAAGCTCAGCTAGACACTCAGACACTCAGACACTCAAGCCAGCAGCACCACCGGCAGCGGCCCTTCTACTGGGTTGCACAAGCCACCCAACTAATCAAGATAAATAAATATTTATAATTAATTTAAAATATAAACACGAAACACAACGCAGTCGCAATTAATTTTCGCAACAGCATCAGCTCTCGGAACTTCAAGCAAAGCCAGCGTATTCCGTATACGCCGCGTGAGCTTAATCGGCAAAGCCGACAACGAGCACCCGCAATTTGATAAGGCTCGCTCATCTCCAACTTACAGGCATATGAATAAATGAATGAACGCATGAATAAGCAATCAACTGTAATGGCCAGCGCCATGGCCAGGCAGGCGCTAACGAGCGCTGCCGCACCAGGCCCAAAAGAAAATACAGTGAAAGCGAAATTAAGAAGAAATGTGTGCGCAACGTGAAAGGTTAAAGCGCAACATCCGTTAAAGGCGCACCAAAAGGGTCAAGCACCACAGCTGTGGGCCGGCCAATGCGTAGCTAATGAGTGCCAGCCCCAGCAGCGGCAGGTGTAGCCATCGACAGCAGCAGCAGCAGCAGCACCAGCAGGAGTTTGCCATGGGCCAGGAATGTGCGTGAGCTTGTCCGCCTGCGCGTGCTTAATGAACTGCAATCAATGGCGCCAGTCGATAAGCAACGAAAGGCGACTGATTGTGCGTGCAACATGAGGCTGACCGCAAATGTTCACAGATACTCGCACACACACACGTACACAAATTTCATACAATATACATGCACACATACAAGGGCACGCCGCAAATGATTTATATAGCGCGCTTTTGGTTTGGTTTGGCGCATTAATTACGCACATTTTGCTGGAATTTATTTAAGCGAAACATAAAACCTACTGCGCTACCGCCCACCGCCCATCACACGGACAAACACAATAAAAAATAAATAAATGAAAATAAAATCAAGTTATATAAAACGTTTGCCATCTGCTCCACACATTTAATTACAACAAGTAATCGAATCGAAATTCAGACCCAAACTAACATCAACAACAACAACAACAGCCCATTGAGTGCCTTATCTAAACCCAAAATCGACCTCTTTTGCGGAACTTGATTTGCTTATTGAGCTCCGCTCGATTCACAACATGATTCCTGCCAGGTGCTCAACACGTTATATAAAGTGCTGCGAATTGCTGGCAAATAAATGCAACAATGTAACAATCAAGATGGGAAATCGAATGAAAAATGAATGAATGCAGAAGATGTACAAAAAAATATGTGAAAATATAACTGGCATTTCTGAAGCATCTTTCGATTCATTGCTGAAATGTGTTACACTCGAGTGCAAGACTCTGCACTCAATGGCAACCAAAATTTAGTTTTATTTATTTTTTATTTTTGAGTCTGTGATTTCAAATTGAGTCTTTGATTCACAAATAATTAACAAAGCAATTATTTATTGCTTAACAGCTTGGAAGTACATTAAAAGGACAACAGAGAGATAAATGCAATTAAAGTCCATATATGTTATATGTAAATAAATATGAAAGGCGGACTGCAGCTACAACTGTGGGCATGCCATTTGTGCTTTAACATTCTTTGAAGGCTTTTTGACAATTGTATGACATTCCAGCATTGCTAAAGAGCACAGCAATTGGAAAAATCTGAGTTATTTGAAGGCCGATAAAACATTGCAGCTCATGTTTATAGAAATACAACACAATGCATTCAATTTGAGTTTGAGTTAGTCATGAATCATATTTGATACGACCACAAAAGTTAAATTTTAATGCTTTCATAATGTCATGATGTGCTTAAGTACTTAGACTATAACTGTTGTTTATAGTTCATACAATCCGATATATACACACACACATGCACTCATATATAACTGATTCGAAACACATAAAATGTTCAACGTCAAAATGTTAAGCACATTAATGCATATATACTGCAAAAACGTTCAGCACATAAACTTGACCAGACTCATTCAAAAACCCATAGAGAGACACTCAACCAGTGGGCATTAGCAATAAATGTTGGCCAAAATTGTGCGTTGAATGGCCAAGTTAAGCGCACACAGAAAACCCATAAAAATAAAAAACAAAACTTTTCAACATTTCAATTCATAATTCAACACATAATTATATTGCTCTAGCTCTGATTTCGCAATCTCTTCTATCTCAGACTCTCACTCTCTCTCTCTCTCTCTCTCTCTCGCTCTCTCTCTCTCTCTCGCTCTGTTGAATTGTGTCAGCAACTTTTCAAAACTGTAACAGTGCCAATTTGTCCAAAAAGTGCCATGGCCAGCTCCGAGTCCTTTTTCGTCCTGCGGTCCACATTGCAATTTGTAATGAGAATTCAACTCAAATTTTGCTGTTCACAAATTATGCAAACAATTTTCTGGCATTGCTCATTCACAGTTGATATGCAAATACATATATTATTTGCCATGGCTATGCATTATGCTAAATAATTGCTCACATTCTTTACGCTGAGCGTTGGGTAGGGGCTGCGACGGGCTGGGACGGGGCGTGGCAGATTGAGCTCGGGGCGTCGCTGGATGCCAGAGTTGTTCGCTATTTTTGCAATTTGTTTTAGACAATAATATTGCGTTAATTATCACAGAGTGCTGTCAAAATTAATTACAGCCGCTGGGCAAACTCAGTGGCTCACTCTCTGTGTGTGTGTGTGTGTGTGTGTGTGTGTGTGTGTGTGTGTGAGCAAACAATTTCATTTTGTTCATCTTGTTTATTGTTGAGCACGCGTAATTACGTGAAGAATTCATGTGTGAAAATTGTTAAGCTTTAATGCCAGCATTTTATTGGATTTTCGACAGAAATAATTGACAGTAATGCGAAAAGTACAAGATAATATGAAAATTTAAAAAACCTAGAGAGAGCTTTGTTTAGCTGAAAGTCAAAGTAAGGGAAATGCAAAGCAATAAATAAGTAAGAAATTTACACACGGGTGCAGCCGACTGCACATTACTCATTCGCTTTGCAATATAATGTATGAGATAATGTTAGATACATATGTATGTGCATATATGCTGTCTATGGAAGAAGCATCTATGCAGCTTTATTCATATTTGAATTGCCTTTTCAATTGCCGGTAATGATTCACATTCATACAAACAAACGGACGGAAATTGCATGAAACCAATATACTCTCTTTACACATTGTGAACGAACATAACAAAAATATAAAATATTTAAATCACAAGCTTAAAGTTCAGCCACGCCAGTCGAACGCTGCGCTGTGAAATGTGCAAGTAAATTAACAAAAATGATTGCACGTCATGCCGCAGAACGTTAAAATGGGATAAGCAGCCCATAGCAGACGCGTGGCAAGGACAATGCCTGGCAGCAGGCGGGAGAGCAGGCTTTGGGGCAGACAATAAGTTAAATTAGTTTGCCAGTTGAGCAGCATTCACTCAACTCCGCTCAGTCTTGTTCTCTCTCTCTCTCTCTCGCTCGCACTCTCTCGCTGTCTTTGAGTACAAAAATATTATTACTCATAAATTATCACAAGTGAGTTCATCACACGGCTTGCACTTGCCGCACTGAATGGCCGCGTGTGTGTCTGCAAAAGTTTGTCTGGCTGCAGCTTGCCCAGCTTCCCCCCCTCCCCTCCTCCTCCACACATGCGCGCATAACATTTGTAGCTAAATCCGTGAGCTCAGCAGGCAAAGTTGAATTGTTCGTGAATGTGCATGAGGATTGCCTGTTGAGCTCGCCTGGCTTGTGGGTAGTGCATATTGTCATAATATTGACGGCATGATATATTGAGCTGTGCAGTCAATAAACGTTTTATGATCTCAGCTGCACATATTTCAGCGCGTCCTCGCCGAGCTTGCATTAAAGCTGCTGGGTAAATCGAAAGCCATTATGTTGACTAAATCAACCGAAATGGGTTTCTCACAGACCAGATACCACGCCCACATATGGCAACATGCTTCAGAGGCAGGCATGTCAACGTCCCATGTTGTCATGAAAACCCATCGAGCGCTCTTAAATAGCTAACAACTAAATGTTGTTACATTTACTGCTTTCCTTTTATCACACTAAGAGAAAAACGAGCGAGGCTGCCTTGGTGAGTGGAAGACGGAAAAAATTCATCATCACGTTGGGCCGTCCTTAGGCTGGTTTAGGGGCCCGTTGGCATCTGCTAAAGCCACTCGATGCGCAGCGACACAACTGTATGGCCATAAAGCTAATCCAGAACTAATTTCCAAAGCCGACTAGGCCTTCGCATCAGAAAGAAATGGAGCAACGACAAATGCCAAGCGCTACAAAAAGCGAGTCCGAGCAAGTATCTGAAGAATGTCCACAAGGCTGAAGCAGCCCAACGAATAGTCAGCCCAGTGGAGCCCCAAGATGAAAGATGAAAGCGGGGGAGAGACAACGAGAATTGAGGCTGCCAGCACTATGATGAAATTGAAGCAATCTCTTCGACCGGCCGAGACTCAGTCCATTTTGGCTTGCTATCAAGATTGTAGTATAGAGCACAGAAAACACAGTTGACCGACGAGCGAATGTCCTGAAAATACATAAAAGATAAATCGATAAAAGTAGTCAGAAAAATTGGACGAAAACTCTATTATTTATTATTTATATCTGCATAAATTCTAGTAAAATCAGTAATCAGAAAAACAATAAAATAAAATAATAAAATAATATATATATTTCCATAAGCAGAGATTTAATATATAATTAGAGCAAAAATATAAAAATATAAAAATATTCTCAATTATGTATATTGAAAATGTTGCCATCTAAACGATAAATTCGGAATACCCTCAGCGTGAGTGGAAGCAGGAAAAGGAAGGCAAGGCAAGAAAAAAATAGCTGGTGCGAACAGGCAAAGGGTGAAACAATGATAACAGCAAATGCGATAGAAAAAGCTGCAGAAAATCGAGCAAAAAACAAGAAGCTGAAAAAATAATACAAAATGGCAGAAAAGAGAAGAGAAGAGAAGCGAAGAGAAAAGAAGAAACATGCAAAGAGGTTTATAACTTCTCGTAAGACGGCTTAAACGATTTGCGAGTTTATGAAAAGCCAAACACACTTTACACACGTGTGTGGGTGCGCAAAGAGATTGCAAGACAAATGGAAAATTGCTTTTTGATGTAGTCGAACTGGCAAACTGGAAAACTGGCAAACTTGGAAACTGGCAAGCTGACTGGCCGTGTGTGCTTGTCGAAGTCGTCATTGATTAGATGTCAGATGGCAAGAGTCAGATGGCCACAGTCAGCACTTGAAGCCATCTGCGTGACTTTAAAGGGCTCGCTGCTTGCTGCTTGCTGCAGGTGCAGCCAGGCGACATCGTCTGCATTCGCGAATCGCAGAATATATTTTAATCCGTGCATTTTATGCAGCCCAATGCCCATAAAAAGCAGAGCGTTGACGATGTTGTGGCTTGGCCCGAAGTGCGGTTGGATGAGGCCGCTGTTTGTCTGTCGCGACGTATCAATATTGTTTTACGGCCCCGCTTCCTGCCGTGTATGCAAATTGCTGCCACGTAGCAGCACAAGCAGGCGCAGGTCCTTCAGCTTGGCTGGGGCTGCCGGCGCCCTGACAACTGGCGGCTTGGTGGGCTTCACCTCTGACAGTTTGACTGCCGGCTAACGGGGCTGCCGACTGCCAGTTCCCTGCCGCTTATGGCACTCTCATGCACGCTGCATCAATTTGAATAATAAATCTCATAAAGCTTGTCCTCTCGCTCATTTCCAGATGCCGCCCAGGCGACGCTGCGCAATGTCAATCTGCTCGTCGAGCCGCCGGCGGTGCGACGCGGCCAGTCGGTGGCCCTGCGCTGCGAGTATCAGCTGGATGGTGCACCGCTCTATTCGATTAAGTTTTATCGCGGCCAGTTGGAGTTTTATCGCTTCACGCCCGGCGAATATCCCCACACGAAGGTCTTTCAGTATCCCGGCATCAAAGTGGACGTATGTTGGACACACCTCCACCCTCAACCATCGCCCATCCCCCATCCCCCATCCTCATCCGCACTTTCGCTCGTTCCCACTTGGCCAATCCAATTAAACACTGATATTATTGCAGGAAAGCAGCTCCAACGCCACCCTGGTGCTCATACGGAACGTCAGCTTCGGCCTCTCTGGCAACTTCAGCTGCGAGGTGACTGCCGATGCACCGCTCTACTCGACGGCCACCGCCTATGCCCAAATGCAAGTTGTAGGTGAGTACCATCCATACGAAACGATAACGACCCACCAGCCCCACCATTCCCGTGTTATGCCTCAACCACAACAGCGCACTCAACCAGCCACAGCCTCGTCATATTCAAGCGCCTGACCTTCTTCTTCTTCAGCAAGCATCAGCAATTAAAGAGACCTAGGCATGTGCTCTCCATCGAGCATATTCGAGTCTCTTATATTGAGCTCATCTCACGTTGCCTTACATAGCTGATTGATAATCAGTTGAGCTTGAGCTTGTTGGAGAGTGAAGGTCGAGTGCTGATAAATATTGCTGGATACAGTCGACTTTCGATATTGCGAACCTCGAGGGACTCTTTAAATATTACGAATTATCGAACAAAAAAAATAAAATAAAATAAATTTCGAATTATTAGGGGATTTTATTGACATGCTGATATTTGACATATTCGTAATGTTCAACTTAATATTTTTTTGAAGAGAACTCATTTATACGGGCTTAATCGGTATTTGCTGATATTTTACTTATTCGTAATGTAGGTTCAAATAAACGAATTTTTGAAAAGAAATCATTTATACGGGTTTGGTTTTAATCACATTGCTTTTTTCAGACTCTGTTATATTTTTTTTAACTTTCATCAGTTCTGTTTTGTAGACAAAAGCTTTGTAAGTTATTCCATGAGGCTCTTGTTTCCAATTCTCTCTTCTATATGGATATATCTCTTTCAACGTGAACACAACAAATATATATGTGTACCTAATTTCATTTAGTGTGTGTATCTGCAGCAAAATATCTTAGCTTGTTATCAGAGCATAGTTCAGACGAAAGTACCAACAAGTACATACATATATTCTCCCCAATTCCCGCCTCTAGCTTTAACCAATATACTCTTTTCATTTTCTTAAATGATCATATCCAGCACATCTAAGGCCCATAACTCATTATCAGCTGTGTTTGAGAAAAATATGGCAAAGGAAAGGGCCAACATATATAAAGAGAAAAAAAAATGATTCATTATGTTTTCTGTTAACTTCATTTCTGGAGCAGTAGCTTGATTTATTTTTAGTACATCAAATATCCCAAATTAAAAGGGAAACACACAACCACACATTAACCGATTTTCTTCTCTGAATCTGCTGCAGAATTCCCGGAAAAACGACCTCAGCTCTTTACGGAACAGACGCGCTACGAGCCCGGCGATGTCTTGCGCGCCAATTGCAGCACGTTGCCATCGAGACCCCGCGCCGAGCTACGCTTCACACTCAACCACATGCCGGTAAGTGCAATTTTATGAGGGACCCGGGAGTTGTTCTATGTATGACAACGGAGCCGCACAACTCACTGTCCCCAGCTCCGTCTCGCCGCGCCTCTCCGCATAGGCTTGCAGCGGCATATTGTGATGAGTTATTTGTATGATAAAACAGAAGGGCGGGGTGGGGGTGGGAGGCTAATTAAACGGCGTTGGCTTCGCAAATGGGAACGTAAATCCTTTATAATTAGAAAAGCCACTTGCTGAGCCCTAAACTCATTTCCAGCACATGTGATAGGCTGCAGCGGGGGCCGTGGAGCGGGGGATTGTGTTTAATCTCAAGCGATATGCGCCCTGGAATTTGTCGTTTATTTATGGATATGAAAGCCTTACTTAATTAAAATTTTTGGCTCAGAGCTAAATAAGAAGAGTCCCATACACGCACACACACATACACATTGTGACTTACGGGACTAAGTCAATAAACGTAGAAAAGGGTTACGCGCTTTGATTTGATTGTGCGATTTCGCCTCTGTCATTTATCATTACGGAAGAAAGCAAATGAGAGTGGAAAGTGGAAAATGGCAAATGGCAAATGGCAAATGGCAAATAGAAATGGAATATGGAAAATGGTAAACAGAAGCGAAAGCAAACAAGTCACTTGGGTCACAGAGGCCAAGTCATATGCATGCCTACGCCCGGAGAGGACATCATTAGTCATTTGGCGGCATTTTCATGTTTGCATCAATTTTGCGACTGGGCGCTAATCAGTTGCATAAATCAACAATGAAATGGAAATGGAAATGTAAATGTAAATGGATATGGAAACTGGCTCAGGTCGCACCCTCCAGCCAGATGCAGGGCGGTGCCGTTGCCTTTTAAAAAGCGAATGCTTTATATATTTCTGTATCCCAATTTGACCGCAGGACTGGCTAACCTTTTTCTTTGTCGCATTGCTGTTATTAATCATAGCCACGACATAAAATAAATTACGTTCAACTTCTGCACAGAAATTGCCCGGACAGAGTCCGACAAATCGGATGAGCCGGACGCTGCCTTTAAATGAATTTACGAGACAACACTTTTCAGCTGACACGCCCACACGGAGAGCGTACGCGGCGAGCATTCGATTGTCGTCTATCCCACTGTCCCACTGTCCCACTGTCCCATTGCTCTGCCAACTGCCTGCAAAAGAAAACTTATTAAACGCTTCATAAATTTTTATATTATGTCTACCCACATCATCAGACATAACGTGCACTGGCAATGGGAGTGGGAGTGGCACTGGCATCCTTCCCGATCTGTGTGTCTTATCCTGCCGTTTTGTATCTGTCGCTCGCTGTTGTCTACTTTTCGGGACTCACACACACACACACACACACACACACGTACACAGAGCACACATACGCGCTCCCATGCAGGCCGTTGAGCATTTTATCTAGATGTCGCTTGCTTCCTTCCACTTTCAGTCAACCAACTAATGACAAAAACCGAGACAAAAGTGCGCTGCTTTAGTGTGCACATGTGTGTGTGTGTGTGTGTGTGTGTGTGCGTGTGTCCGTCTGTCTGACTCGGCGTGCCATATAAAATTTTATGTCTGTGGTGTTTATGTTGGCGCAGACAGCCAACAACAACACGAACCACACGAAATTCCATTCATTCTGCTGGCATTGGCCAGGCAATTGCCGCCGAATGGAGATGCGTCTCAGATATTGAATTATGATCTGGCTGCTGGCTGGCTGCTTTAAATGGCAGCCCTAGACGTTCGTTAGTGTAATCCATCCATACTAGCGTGGCACAAATAACTAATGACAGCTTAAAGCCACCTGCAAACAGGCAAATACAATATATTGTATATAATATCGCAAAAGCAGCTTCGGCTTTAAGGAGCTTTATGGGATAGAATATACATATATAATTGCAATACGATTTGCCGTTTGTTTCTCTTTTCTTCCACTTTCTTTCCCTGTCTTATCTCTAATTCGTATTCAAAGCGAAACGAGAGCCACATGTTGACCCAGGCGAAGGCAGCCATCCACCCATCCGCCCATCCACCCATCCAGCCGGCTGCCGGCTTAGCGACTAACATAATTTGTTAAAAAGTTTTTGTCATATTAATGGAAAAGTAGCTGAAAATGAAATTTTTTGGTGAATCATGGGAATTAGTTGGGATTAGAGCTGTCGAGACTTTCGGGGAGTTTGCCGACCGAGACAAGTGGCCGTTCGACAGTGGGATTTGTGCGCCAATCGATTATTTGATAAATTATTTACTTCAGATGCCGCCCAGTGGAACTAGTGTAAATGCCATAAGCACATAATTAAAGCTGAGCAACAGCTTTAAGTGTCTGTGATTAATGAATCGAGAGCACATGCTGCCGAATGGAAAACAGTTCGCCGCTATTCAAGACCTTTGCCTTGAAGAACTCCTCCACACTATATCTACGTATATCTAGGAAGACCGTACTCCATTCTCCATTCTCGCACAATTAGCATAAGCATTTCGGCTGCAAATGAACGTGTTGTGTGGCCCCGGCCAATATTAATAGGCAGCCATCATAATTGTGCCACGCAAACACAAAACACACTCACACACACATATATACAGTTTCTGGGAGCAAAAAGTGAATTTGGCTTGAAAACAATTCAAGTGCAAAATGTTGACGCAAGCAAATGCCAAACATTTATTTAATTGGCCAACCGAACGTATTGGGGGGCTTGGGGCTCGCCAGATATCTCTGGGGCCCCTGGCTGGGGGTGCCGATGCCATAAAGGTAAATCACAAGAAATATGAGGGTATTTACACTTTTGGGTCGCTGCCTCAGCCACATGCTTAATTAAAGCGCTTGCCGTCTTAAGAGTTTCTCGTAAATTACGCGGCATTAAATTCCCCAAGCTGTGCGAGCGAGACAGCAGAGAGCTGAGAGAGTGAGAGAGAGAGAGGCAAAGAAAAGCGAGTTAACTAAAAATGGCTTTTTATGTCGCTGCGCCTTTGCCAGCATGAAAATAAAAATAAAATTCAAATATAAAGTTAAGCCAAAAAACGTACAAGCAGAAAAATAAAATGTCTGTGCTGGTGTGTGTGTGTGTGTGTGTGTGTGTGCCGTAAAAAGGGTTAAAAGCGCACAGCAGCAAACAAAAACAACAAACATCGACAACAACAACAACAACATCGACAACGACATCGACAACGACACGCACAACAATAAAGCGATTTTGCTTTTTAATGTTGTGGGTGTGCGAGAGTTTGCCTGAGAGCAGCGGGCCACGCCCAAAGCAACTATGCTATTCAGATGTTCCTCTAAGTGAGATACCAAATACCTGCTCGAACCCGCTAAAGTCCTCTGCGTGCTGTCCACACACACACACAGCTAAAAGTTTTCCCATTTGACTGTAGTTTGCCGCGCACAGGGTATGGCGTAGTCGATCAGCTGTGTGTGTGCTGCGCGGCGACCCTAATGCGGGGCGGGCACGTTGCCTTCAATGTCGTACACCTTTTCAGGGCACTAAACAGCGCCAAATACATGCATAAGTAAATGGCGCTCAAATGAGTTTGTGAGTGGAAACGAAATGCGCATTTATTGTATTTAAATTGCCAGCGGCTCGCTGGGGTGGGGGGAGGTGGGCGAGGATTGTGGGCCCCTTGGACTGTCGGGCAGGACATGCAGCAAACGGAAATGGCAACACAACCATTTGGAAAATGGCGCCTGCACTTCCTGCTGCTAACAACAATGGGCATTTGCAACTAAAAACCGGGCACAATACAGTTAACGGGATTTTCTTTTCGCCCGGTGCGTAAAGATGCGCCAAACGGAAATGATGTGCCCCAGTCGCGCGGCCAGAGCATCTCTCGCAAATGAAACGGAAAGCTAAGCTAAGGGCTGAAATGAATATGCACACGCCCATGCACATGGCCGAGCAGGAGAAGGCTGAGCTACGGCTTTTTGGGGAACACTGGGGCTTAGGCACTGCTGTTGCTGTCACGAAGGAAATGAAATTTTTAAATGCACACAGTGCGAGTGGCAGCCCGACAGACAGACGGGCGGACGGGCGGACAGACGTACGAATAGTCATATGGTAAATGTTGCCTCGGTTGCCCTTGCTGCTGGCTGCTGCTACTGCTGCCTTTACCATTGCCGTTGCCGTTGCCGTTGCCGTTGCAGTGGCTCAGTAACTCAAAGACTAAGTGTAAACAGTTTGCATTGCTGTTGCGTTAACAACCAACGGGCAGCAGCAACAACAAGCAAACAAACAACCTTGAACGGCAGACACTCAAACAAACTGTCGGACATCTGCAAAGGCGAAAAGAGCGAACAGGGCGTATGAGTGATGCTGCTGTTTCTGTTGCTGTTGCTGCTGCTGTTGCTGTTGGTGCTGGTGTTGATTTTGATGCTGCCACTGTTGCTGTTGTAACATTGAAAACTGTTTTTAAAAGCCAACAAACAGAGGCAGAAACGGCAACAAAAACAAAAATATGGCATGCCATGTCCGTTCATTCTCAGCATCCGCTTCCTTCCAGCGCAAGTTGTCCCATTGCCGACGTCTACCCATTGCCCATTGCCCATTGCCCGTTGCCCGTTGCCCGTTGCCCATTGGTAGCAGCTTTTGTTGCCACTGGTATCGCACTTGCTCCGCCGTCGCAGTGCACAGTCAGCACACTCTCTGTGCCCCACTCGACGCCGCAAGTGCAGCATGCTTATAATAACCCCCGCTGACGACAAATTGCCATTCATATTCGTGCGATGTACTCGCATGGGGCTGCCCACATATCGGAGAGTAACTTTTTTGCAGCACTCGGCAAATATATTTTTAGTTTGCCAAGCGGAAGCGGAAAGCAAAATCAGTTTCAGCCGCACACCCACACACACACACACACACACACACACACTTACATTCACGAAGCTAGCTGTAGAGCTATGAATAATTTAAAACATACTTCGAGTCTTATGTATTTGATATGCATATGGTAGTTAGTTATTTCGTTAGCTCGGCACTCAACGAGCAGCTGCTGATGGACTCGCAATTAACTCATCACTGACTCAATGCACACACTCTCTCTCTCTCTGTCTCCCTCTCTCTCTCTCGTCGATAGGTGGCCACAGAGGAAACACAATACATTCGCACGATTGATAACCTAATAGCATCCAGGCTGAGCCTTCGACTGCAATTGCAGTCGGTGCACTTTGTGGCCGCCGCGAATGCCAATGGCAAGGCTCAGGGGCGAGCTCGCAATGCGCACGTGACAAATGCTTTGGGGCCCGGACTTCCTCCCACTGGCGGAGGCCTGATGCTGCGCTGCACGGCTCAAATTGGTGATTTATATCAGGAGTACACGGAAATTGAATTGGGTACGCCGCAAAAGGATCCGGTGCCGGCAAGAGGTAAGCCACAACCACAACAAACACAACATGCAACTGAAACGAAAACCAAGACTTAAACCTAAGCCGAAACTGAAACCGAAACCGAAACTGAAAATGAAACTAAAACACCTTTCACATTTGTTTTGCAAACGCATTCAATTTCCTATTGCAGTTACTCTCTCATCCGGCTCGGGTCTGCAGAATTTCTTGGAAACCTATTTCTACACATCGGCAGCCGGCAGAGGCTGGCAGGGCTACAGCTACAGCAGCCTCTTCGTGTGCTGCCTAATCCCCATAATCCCCATGTTTGGGATGATAACAAGCGGCAGTTAAATGCAAAATTGATTACATTTTAGCAACAATTACTGAGTAGAGCACGGCTTGAACATGCAATGTGTATAGCATAGATAATGGCTTCGATGTGTAGCCAATCGTTTTAAGCTTAGCCTCTCCCCATCCCATCCCCCCCCGCAACTCACGCAGAAAATTAAAACCAAAAAGCAAAAAATAAAAGCCCCATTCGTAATACTTTATAAATTACACATTCAGATGAAATAATACAGTTTTGTAAATATTTGTTTTATGATGTAAGCCAACTGCACGTGCATTAGCACCGCCGCAAATATATATTCACGCAAAGAGACGAATGGACGTGTAGAGGAGCAAACACGGCTAATTGTTAATTAATGGATTATTTAATGATGCATTAAATATTGCATAAATTATAATTTCGATTGCATTTAACTCCATTAAAAAAGGAAAACAGCTGCAATAGCACTTTCAATATCAACTTTATATTATAAGTATATACTATATCGATAAAAACACACACACACACACTCTCACACACAATTTAAATATTGTACAAATGAGATATTGCATTTGAAATAAAACAGCATAGATATTCGATAAAGCATGTGCAAGTTCATTAAATATTGGGGATTTTCCTAGAATTATTTGCTGCAGTAAATACCTATTGAAAAAAAACAAATAAAATAAATTATTTGATGTATATGCGTGGTATCAATCAACTTATCTCTTGTCTCACTATATAACACTGGTAAGTTTTATTATGCATTTTATTTATGATATATGTATGTATTTTGCTAAAGGAAATTATCGAGGACAGTTTTTTAATTTCTTTGGATTAAGAGTGCTTCAATTTTTATATTTATTATTCCATGGATTTTCAATGCTTACTTAAGTTTTATTTTTAATAATATACTCAGTATCTTTTTTTCTTTCATCACACTTTGACGAGTTACCAAATTTGTCTTTGTCTTTAGGAGAAAAAATAGACTTTATTAATTTAAAAATATTTTTAAAACACCATTGAACTTCGATTTTATATCTAGCACAAATTAAAAAAAAAAAAAATGAAAATTAATAATCAGTTTTTTTTTTTTTTTTAATATGATACAATAAGAATTGCGAGCCTAATGAATAGGTATATTTCTTTTGATATGTTATATGGTTTCTTTTTCATTTTCTGTCTATATCTCTCTCTCTCACTGTCTCACTCTCCCTCCCCTAGTCTCACTCGCTCACTCTCACTCCCTCGCTCTGTTGCTCTATCTCTCATTCTATTCCTCGGGCTCACTCCTTCTCCTCGCTACCTCGTCTTTAACTCTACATCCAACTTTCTACCCCTCTACCCACCATTCCTTCCTACCCATCTCTCCACTCACTCACTCACTCAAATTCCAATTAAACAACATTTTAATTGCCAAATCTGAGCGTATTGTGCAACCGCATTGAGAATCCATTTTTTCTGCTCTGGCTCTATTCTTGGCAATGGACTCATCATTTGGCCGTATATCAGGCACGCTCCGCTTTTTGGAGTGCAGAGATATTCGATTTAATGCTGTTGCATAAATCATTTTCTTCGTTTCAATTGCTTAAGCATATTTCAAATTGCGATATATATTTGCTTAAGGGCGTGGCCAGTGCCAAAGCAGAGAAGAAAACGAACCGAACGCACTTCGTGGCCAGCCAGCCAGCCCTCAGCCCGTTAGAGCACACAGAGGCAGAAAATGCATTTGCCATTTACCATTTACCATTCACCATTTGCCATTTGCCATTTGCCAGGGCGGCTACTTGGCCGCGGGCCAGTCGAAAGTAATGAAAAAACTGCGTTTGCCAAAAAGCAAATATCCACTACGGACACCACGGACTGCACGGACACCACGGCGAAGCCAAGGCGAAAGACTGAATCTTGCCCACTTATGCAAGCAGCCGAGCGCGCGGCAAATAAAAACCAAACAGCGAGGCAGCTACAAGGCGGCACCGCAAAACGGAAACGGAAATCGGAAGCTGCAACTGTGCAACGCAATCGTCCAAAGCAGCGAGCAGCGGGCAGCGAGGAGCAGCAACAACAAATATAGGCGGCACCCGGACACAAGGACAACATCAGCCGAACCCGGGGACGGCGATAAAAGTGTTGCAATTTATGGGCAGGCTGGCCGGCGCCCAGGCTCCGCTCGCAGCACCTCACAGGGCCCCAGCACTGCAACAGAGGCGCAGACCCAGGCACAGGCCTAGGCACAGGCACAGGCACAGGCAGCTAAAGTTTCTGGCTAATTGATTTTGTGATTTTATCTTTTAATGACTTTTTCGCAAAGTGCAGCGCTTAAATGCCCCAGCCAAACACACACATAGACACTCACTCACACACATATTGTATATATAGTCTCTGTGTATATAGTAAATACATTTGATTTTAATTGCACATTAGTGCAAACGCCCGCAAATTGTAGAGCCAAGCGGTTCGACGGGAGCGTACGAATCTGGCCGGAATGATAAAAATGTTCAGCGGCAACATTTTCATCTCTAGCCACAATTTTAAATGCTACTACAATTTTATTTAACGAACATTTTTATTAACTGCGCCTAAGAGTATGCTTCACTTTTATACCACTGCAGAGCAAACCGCAAAAAACGCGCACAAAACGCGTGCGAAACGCGTGCAAAACGCGCACGCTATTTTATTTTATATTAATGCTATTTTTTCATCAAAAGCTGAAAATAATTATGAAAAGCATTAAAAATGTGCTTTTATATATTTGATATTCAATATGGGAGCAGTTTTAGTTAATCAAAAATTAATTAATTAACTGAAGCCTAGTCGATGCGCATAAGCTAAACAGCTGCAAGCTGAAGACATAAAAGCGCCACAGCAATACACAATTAAATTACTCTAGCCTAGGCAGAAATCAAGCTAAAGCTAGCAAAATTAATTGCTATAATCACTGCATGCCACAGCTTCACTCGCACTCACTCTGCCTCCCTCTCTCTCTCTCTCTCTCTCTCTCTCTCACTCTGTTTCTCTATTATCAACTAGTCAGAATGAAGCTCTCCGGCCGGGCTCTTAAAAAAGGAAATGAAAATGTGTGCAGCCACATTTGATGACCGATGAAACTTGGGGCCATGTCATGAGCATTTAAGTTTCGACTTTTAATGCCGTCTAGCTTCGACTATATCAGTTCGAAGTTGTTCCCCCCGTGCAAAGTTTTTGTGCCATCCGAGCTGCGAGCACAATTGCTTCGTTAGCGCTTAAAACGCATTTATTTCTGGTCGTCTGAACAATTGGCGAGCCCACGCACAATTTATATTGCATGCCATGAATATTTTATGTTATCAAACACTTTAACTTTCGTTCTAGTAGAAAAACCTCTCTATATTAATATACACACATACATAATGTCATTTGCTGATTTTGGCAAATGAAATTTTTGCACGAAATTTACATATATTGGATATTATTGTTCGGGATAGCTACGTGCAATCTGCTGACAAATCGTCATTAACATCGCGGCTAGGTAAGTTTGTTCCACTGTCTGTCAATGTACAAACATAAATATATTATACAGATATAAATGGGTGTATGAGTGTGTGGTTGGGTGGGTCTGGGTGGTGCGCTTGTGCGCGGCAACAATGGCGGTTCGTTAGTGCAACAACCGGCAAATAGCAATCAAAATGAAATAAACATATTTATGCATCAAATTTTATTTTAATATCATAATGCGGGCTTTTTTTTCTTTTTTTTCGAGTTTTTTTACTGAAGCCGCGCGGTAAACTCAATCAATTTATGGATCATTGCAATATAACTGTATACTTTGTATTAAAAACGGCATAAAATAATATAAATGAGCAGCCATCGAGGGCGAAGCGAAATTTTAATAATACACTCGTAATTCATAAGCCCATTTTAGCAAATGAATTTCACTACCAAAAATTCCAGCTCTACCTAATTATCTAACCAAATTAAACTCTCTTTTTATTAAATATTGATATCTAACGATAGCCGCAACAACACAATTACAAAGCGCAGCGCTGCATTATTATTAAACACTATAAATACACTCACACACACACACACACACACACACACAGCAATGTAGTTCAATAGGGCCATTCAGATATTAAACACTGAAATATTTTGGTGTAATAAACTCAATTTACGCTTTCATATAATTTGATATCATTTGCATATATATTTGCAGTCGTAATTGCATTTAATTTCATTTTATGCAGATGCCCAATAATAACAAATATTGTAATAAATTAGGAAACGCAATTTGTTCATTTCATTAAATGCAATATATACAAAGAGCAAAACAGACAGCAAACCAACGACAACCCTCTCCCCCTCATCGGTCTTGAATGGCTCTATGAGTTGAGTTGAGATATGGATGTGATCGAAGAGCATTGAGCAGAATTTTTTCTTACAAATGAGACTTTCTTAATGTTTTTTTTTTATAAGCTGGACAATATTGTAAGAGCTTACACAATATAATTAGTGAGAATAGCTCGGCCTTAGCTATTCGCTGCTTTATCCTTAACTCTCTGCTCGCAAAATCTATCATAACCTCTCGCTTTGGCTCCGAGCAAAGAACTTCGGTTCTTCTCGTTTTTAATTCCTATTGTGTGCCTTGAGTTTAACTATTCGTGTGACGCTCTTTGAACAAACATCGCCTAGAGAGAGCTTAAAGAAACATCGGCTGTCCATTGAGGGTCCGTGGATGAGCAAATACTTAAAAAAAACTCAATGCATATGGTCTTCACGTTCAAATAAACATGCATACACAGAATTCTGGAATTAAAGTGTTAGTTTTAGTAGGCACAGCAATAAATATCAATGCACAAACGATCGGCGAAAAGCCGACCGAAATAAAATACTTCCCATCGCACGCGGATGATCTCGTTAAAGAATCAAGGGAATCGTTTGCTCTCTGTGTTTCCGCTCACCATTTGTGAACTCTGTTAGGGAGCAATGTGGCTTGATCAAGTATTTGCTCATCTGCTCCGCTGTTGTCTCCCTGACTGGTGACTGGTGCTTAGATCTATCCGTCTGTACTCCTTTCGAGCATACCACGATGCCCTGGTCGCTGGTGGTCACTCTCTGCAATATCTGCAATATCTGGGCAATATCTATGTTGCTATCTCAAACGTTTCACCACACTTGGGAGCCGTAGGTCCAGATTGGATTTAGAGCACA